CAGTTCATTCCCGTCCCTAGGTGCGTAACCACCGACTTGCGACCTTCATCGTGCTCGCACTAAAACAATTCTCCCTCGAAGCCGCTGAATCCTAGCGTGCGGTACGATCAAACGCTACCGCAGCAAAGGCCTGAAGATCAGATGCTCCCATCTGAATCTTGCAGTTCCTGCGCTCGAATCTGGCATCTATCGCTCGGTACGTTCCATCACTGGGATCCACATCTCATACCTCACCCACTTTTTTCATTCATGATCCAACGACTCAAACAGTGGTGTGTCATCTGCTCCCCCTGAAACCCAGCACCATCAACCACTCGCCTGCTCCCCCCACCCCCTCTCAACCAATCCTTCATCACCCGCCCACGTTTCGGCCTTCGGATCCACTTTCCAAAACGGAACAGAGAAACCTCCGCCATCTTTCACAGCGTCTGCACTAAACGCGCAAACTGCCGTCTTTCTCGTCCCCTCAATGGGAGAGATCATTCCAAGACCCATATTCACGCACGCAAAAATCCGAGCTAAGGGATATAGAACAGGCTATCACTAGGTCTGTCAAGACGTAGTGGGGGGTGGACGGCGTAGGTAGCTGATGCCGTGGTTTAGAGGCAGGGAGAGTCAAGTGGCCGCTTCTGACATCATCTTGATCAACGTCTTCATGATGAGCTAGGAAAATCTGACGGGTAGAAAGTGTGAGGATGCTAGTAAGAATGTTTTCATCCTTTCGAACAGCTTCCTCAGATCCTGAATTATGGGCCAGCGCCGTTGCAAACGCGCTATTACTCTATTCGGTCTAAAATCGAAAAGACGACTGGATTGCTTTTACTATGCTAGATGTGGGGTAAAAAGCTTGACAACTGCAAAGTGTCGCAAGCAACTCGCTACTTGAAAGGTGAATCGGAAGAAACATAAACTCCGACATTAATTCCATTACTAGCCGACCTACGATGCAAGAGGGAAGAAGAAAAAAGAAAACAGTTCCAAGCAACACGAGCGCAACAGGTGCATGCGCTGGACCATTTACACTCCTTCGCCAGCCGTCACTTACCTTCCACCCACCTTCCTCACTGCGTTCTCCAAAGATTGAAACACGTCACCGGCACACTGGGCGTATAGCAAGTATTAGCCGCGAGCGTCGCCCCAGTTGTCTGGTCCGGGTTCGCCGTATATTGAAACAGCGCGCACTCCTTATCAATGGGCACGCCATCGCTGCCATTCTTCGTGCTGCCGTCCGGGTAGGCGAAGTTCATGTCGAGCTGCTCGTTCGGCTGCAGGTCCCGGCCCAGCATGTAGGAGACGACGAGCGCGTGGTTGTTTTGGCCATACAGCAGGTCCGGGTACCAGATATTCTCGCCGCCAATGGTATTGTTGCCGCAGCCGGAGCGCGTCCAGGCGGAGAAGGTTTGATTGGTGCCGGCCATGTATTGTGGGGATGATGGGGTGTTGGTGGATAATTTTGGGGTGATGTTGGAGTCATCGAAGCGGCGGTGGGGGCGGTGGGGGCGGCTGGCTAGAGCGGAGAATGGGAGGAGGAGGAGGAAGAGGGTGGTGAGGGGTGTGAGGGGGACGTACATGGTAAGTTGTGGAAATGGTTGATGTTGGGGGTAGTTGTGGGTTCTGGGAAACTGAGGGGTATTCGTAGGAGGAGTAAGGGTGAGTATTTGTTTTTTGTAAGGGATGGTTCGTGATTATATGGGCAGAAGAGATGGTACGTTTGTGTACCAGCATGAAGAAAGAGAGCACAATCAGTGACGGGTCGCAATTGTGCTGTCACAACCAAATCTGTCAGACATAAAGAGCATTTCCGATGTGTGAACCTGCATCAAAGCAGATGGACGTTCTTTGATTGACAGTTTCCAAGAACATTGTGTTGTTGACGGATCACTCGTCTTCGAACCCTTTCTTCCTTCGATTACAACATCACTGAAAGAAGCAGGGGGAACAAGGTGAAAACGCAGGATAAGGACAAGCTTTCACGTCGGGTCATTAACCGCCTGGATTCTTTCATGACTTGGAGAATTTTCCTCTTTCGAAGGAAGAGACAAAGGAATGATGAGCGTAGCAGGTTGAGCTGGGGGCGAGTGATGGTCTTTTGGTAGTGCAAAAGGAGTAAATGCCATGTGGTGTGCATAAGTCCCTGGACATAATTCCGGGTACTGCGCCCGGCAGTGTCTAGGGACTTATGCAAGCCACTACCTTAAGTCAGATCACACTTCCCTTGAGGCTCTGCACCATGTCGTCTTTCACCAGCGCATTTTGATATTGCGTAACAAGAAGCGGAGTCTCCAAGATCCTCGCTCAATCTCTGTGATTGCTGGACCCACGCTCTGGCACAGCTGGGGCAGCAATGGCGCAATCAAGCTACTCCTGCAAGTTCTGTACCGTTCTTGCGTGAACTCATCTTTCTCATCTCCTTGTACCATAGCCATGACCCAAGCCTTGAAGAAACTCGCATGGCCCCGATCATACAAACAAGTAACGTCACAATGCCTTCCGCGCTTCTACTCAACCCCGACCTACAGCACGCCCGCCCCGGCCGGCGCATCGGAAGCGGAAGTGCTGTCAGCGAAAAATTACTGCTCGGGGCTACTCCAGTACGTCCGCCACGAGATCTTCCATCCTCACAACTGCTGAACAACGCGCTGTGACAGAAAGTTCGACTCCCCCTCCCACACCCTGCTCGCCTTCATCCCACCCTCCGCCCAACCCGCCTACCTCGCCCTCCGCGCCTTCAACATCGAAACGTCCCGCATCGCCGACACCGTCTCCACCCCCACGGTCGGTGCCATGCGCCTGCAATTCTGGCGCGACAACGTAAACCGCGCTTTCTCGGGCACGCCGCCCAAAGAGCCCGTTTCTATACTCTTGTCCCACGCGCTCGCGGACCTTGACGCGCGCACGGGAGGAACGGCGAAGATGAGTAAGAGCTGGCTCATGAGGATCATCGGTGAGAGGGAAAAATATTTGAACAATGCGCCGTATCCTACGTTGGAGTCGTTGGAGAAGTACGGGGAGAACACGTACTCGATGCTGCTATACTTGACGTTGCAGGCGCTGCCGATGGGAAGTGTGACGGCTGATCATATCGCGAGTCACGTTGGCAAAGCGGTTGGGATCACGGCTGTGTTGCGTGGGTTACCACTGGTGGCATTCCCTCCGCCACCGAACCATCACTCCAACTCTTCGCCTTTGGGAGGCACGTTGGATGCTCAGAGGAGAAGCCAGGGAAGTGTGACCCTGCCGTTGGATGTGATGGCCAGAACGGGTGTGAGAGATGAGGACGTGTTGAGGAAAGGGGCGGAGGCGGAGGGATTGCGGGACGCAGTCTTTGAAGTTGCGACGAGGGCAAGTGATCATTTGATTACGGCCAGGCAAATGCTGAAAAATGTTTACGCTGGGGAGGATGTAGATCACGCCTTTGAATACGATGGGGAGGAAGGGCATGACTACGAGGGGCAGACTAACAAGGGACCGGGGAAGGCTGCCCAGCAGAAAGAGGAGGTGGATAGGGCTTTTGGCGTCTTCATGCCTGCAGTGGCGACGGGGTTGTGGTTGGATAAGTTGCAGAAACTCGATTTTGACGTTTTTAGAGAAGAGTTGAGAAGAAGGGATTGGAAGCTGCCATGGAAGGCGTATTTTGCGCACAGGAGGAGAATGTTTTGAGAAATCCGGGTGATCACAGACATCGGTCTGGTGAAAGGGAAAATCGCCGTTACGGGATGAACTGCCTTCAGAGCGAGACACCCGACGAGACGGTTGGACTCAAAACCATCGAAGCACAGCTACATGCACAACCAACCATGAGGACAAACACTGGTAGAGGAACCTTCTTTACCAGGACATTCTCGTTGTGCAGTGAAGCGCAAATGCGAATGGAGAAGAAAGCAGTCAGCCAAAAGAAAGGCCGACGCCGATTTGAGGCTTCTTCACTGAACCTAGTGACAAAAGCAAAACAAGATCCCAGAATTGGGAAAACTTCGCAATAGAGACTGTCAAAGAATGAACCTAGCGCGGCCCGTTGGATAGGAGGAAGGGTCTGCGGTCAAAGATTGTAGACAAGGTGGTGTGGCCGATCGTTACTGGCTAGATTCGCGAGTAGCAACTCGCGCTAAACACCGGAGATGCTCGCCGACTACCTTGTACGTCTGCTCAGCAAACCATTAGACTGACTCATGTGGTCGCACTGCCATCGTGCAACTCTCATTGGCCATCATTGCAAGCTGTAGTTGAATAACAAGGATAGTCAATGGCCAAGTTGTCGGAGTCTTGCTACCCCCCGGATCAGATCTCAGTGGTGAGGTATTTGCTTCTTCTTTGGCGATTCAATAACATCTTCTTTCTTTCGTGTGCTGTAGCAAAGGAGCCTATCAAGTCTCGACACCGTGGAGCTAAGTTCGCTTTCGAAAGTGACGGAGATGCGGAGGCAGGTCTTCCTGTATTGCTCCATTGCTGCAATGAATGGCCCCGCGGATGCCTTTTGCAGGATACCATCGCACAAAAGCCTGGGTGGATGCATCAGAGCCGTTGAAGAGTTACTGATCGAGGACGGCAATAGTTTTCGACCGTGCGCCTGTCTGGCAACAGGTTATTCCAGCCAAAATCTCCCATTGATCCCTTAGTCCAGTCGGCATTGTTGAGCCAGTCGAGCCAGTCGGTATCATTGTCCATCGGAAAGTCTGCATATGCATCCGCATCCCCATCTACAGCTGTGACCAATTGCGATTCGAATCCCGTATTTGGTGCCAAGATTTGGTTCATGATATGGCTGATGACCTTGTGCATATGACCACAGAGTGTGTAAGTCGGGCGGGCCCACTCTAGGCAGCTGATGAAAATGCTAAGCTTCTGGATGACTTCGGATCGCGGTAGCACGACTGTGTTGTCAAGGGAAGGTTTCGTGGCTTTAAAAGCTCGACGCAAAGTACTCCTGCGCTGGGGACGCCGTACATCGTAAAGACGAAGCCAAAACGCCATTGAAAGTCAATCAGCCAGTCCCTTTTCGCCTACAGGGTTAGAACGTCATCGAGAATCTGTATCGCGAGATCCACCAGTCGCTGTCCGCTTGCATATGTGCGAGATATAGAGAGCCTCTCAAGAAGGAACAGAGAGTGTAGATAGACCAAATGGAGACCGATCTGGCGAGGTAAGACGTGAGTGGATGTAGGGATTTTACCGGCTTTGAAGCGAATGCCTTCCGGCATACGAGCGTAGAGTTCTTCGCAACGCCGCATGGTCTGGCTACAATGCTGTCCTGTCTTACTCAGCTTGGGCTCCGGGTAAGCATACTCTGGTAGGAGCTCAGAGCAGTCGTCCGATATGCTCAGCGAGATCTCGAGGACTTCTTCCCGAACGAGGCTCATCAACAGTAGAGCGCGAGCCCACGTTGATGCGTAGAGTTCTCCTGAGGTGTTCCACCCATTCGCGTCTAGTTTGCTCTTTATGTTGCTCAACTCTGGTTCATCTGCCATCAATTGCTCGTCGCTCAGGTCCAGTGGGAGTTGGCATGTACTATGTCGACGACCCAGTAGAGGCGGTCTTCCTGTCAGGGATGCCACTGTCTTTTCGCGGACAAACACTCTGGCGAACTGTCTTTTGTGGAGCTCCGTTATCATGAACGTGTCTGGAATGCCGTCGTCGACAACCCTGTGGAGGCCAAGGGCCGTGACACTTGAGACCAGGGTACCGTGTCTCTTCCATAGTAGGTAGCCTGAATAGCTTCAGTACGGGTTCAGGAATGGCCAATCAAGGAATGACACTCACTGGTCTTGCCAGTCTCACAGTAGGTCTTCAGCGTCGTGGAAAATATCAAGAGGTACACAGATGTGTCGCTAACATTATCCGCATGATCGCACAGCAGCAAACAAGTTTCAACAAGATCCCTCATACCACATGCAAACTTTCTCCTGTCATTGCGCGATTCAACTTGAGATGTCAGCACCGGGTCCCAATCGGGCAATGATATGGCTGCAAGACCAAAAAGAGCAACCAGCATTCCCAATATCTCCCATCGGAAATTATCACCTTTAAAAGAAGCGAGCCAAGAGTTGAGATCTATTAGGGGGATTGTCTCCTGGCAGACAGAAAGCATTGCGGCACATTTTCTCCGAGACGAACGAAAGCTTTTTGGGGTCTTTGGGTGCTGTGAGATACGGACCATACGTGTCCCACAGCGATTTGTGAGCAAACGTTAGGGTTGGCTTATGCGTTACAAGATCCTCGAACACGACGTAGCGGTCGAGGAGTCTGTCACATACGTCCTGGCTTGGCAAAGCATTCAAGATGTTCAATGCCAATCTAATAGCTGCTTCGTTTGGGGTGTGGATATGAACACTGTGGCATTTACTGATGTCGTGTGATGGAGTCGACAGTGCACTGGCAGCTAGATGACGGTGATAGCTCTTGCATGGGTCCAAAAGGTCCATCCCAAGCTTTCCCTGATGCTCTAAGAAGATCGCAGAGTATGCCGTCGGTCCTAAGAAGCCATTGGGACATTTGTCGGCGTAGGGGAAGCCCGCGGCAAAGATCTTGTAATCCTCGGGGCTCTGCAGCTTCAAAGACAGATTCATGCTGGCGGTTCTTCTGGGAACTGTCGACGGTGGTGAAGCTGCTGTGCTTGGACCTGGTTTCTTCGTGGGTGCGGGGTCGTATACACACTCGGATGTAAGTCTTCGATGCTTGCATCGCCTACAGACTGGCATGGAGTGATCACATCGTAGCTTTGATTTCCTACAAGGCTCGCATGCCTGCTGTTTACCATTACGCCTTCTCGGTACAATTGATTGATCCGCCTCGGCCGAGGGCATCGTTCGGGGACAGGGTGAATGTGGGAAGAAGATATCTTCGGCTATGCCACTCAATTGTAGTAAAGCTTAGGTTTTCAATATTTGTAGAGTATTGTGGTTATCCATCATGGAAGGTGCATCGTAAGCTCTCAAGTATAGATTGGACGACCGTCACAAATCGCAGTCTGGTGAGTGTGGACATCTTCCAACAGTGACGACGCGGACAGAAGAGGGAAAGATATGGGGAGATTGATTTCTAACAGTGAACATGGTAGGAAGGCCATCAGCGTACAGTGTTCGGAGTCGCAGCCTAGAGTGAGTGAGGGACTACGTTGTATCGGAGTAGATGTTCGGTGATCGGAGTTCGAACAACGTATTCTCTTGGCGCTTACGGACTCCTTGATTAGTGATGATCAAACCGAACAACACCTATGTGACTCCGCTTGCATATAGCCTTCCCATCTAAGCCTAGCCGCGTAGACCTGACTCATACATTAGTAGCCATGGCTGTGAACCTAACAAGGCTGTTCGGAATTGATGACAATGTCGGAGTCAAGGCGTATAATTCTTGCTGCCTTGACAAATACTCCTGTACCTCTGTACTGTCTCCTTTCGTGTACATAAGAAGGCCCAATCCGCTCAATTGATTCTGTTCTTGATTCCAAGACACGAGTCAAATAAAAAAAGCAGCCCCAAAAGACAAAAGAACTTAACCACTACTACCAAGCTCTACCACTACCACCACTCTACCTACCAATCCACCTACAATGCCTAACGGATTCCCCGCCTTCCGTTTCGACCCCACAACCGCCCCGCGCTACCTCGTCAAAACCGCCAAAACCTCTTCAGACACAGCATCATGCTACACAGACTCATCGCTGGAAAGTACAGAGACTGCCAAGCTTTCCAAGTACCAGTACCCTACTGAACGAGGTATGACTGCCCTTGGCATTTGAGAAAAGGGGTGTGCCTAATAATGGGACAGATCCTCCAAAGAAATCGCATTCCAAGCCGAAGGGAACGTTCCAGAGGCTTTTAGGATGAGGATATTTGCAGTGTTGGTCATCTGCCTTGGCGGGTAGGATTTCTGAGCAATGTAAAACCAATAGGTTCTCAATCCCTTCAGCACTAGCGCAAGAGAGGGGATGGGTATTGTGGTGATGGCGCAGTCGGTAGAAACAAGGAACAAACAGTTTCTGAAAAAGTGTTGAATAAGCAACAAGCCAAATATTGTGTCATCAAAATGTTTGATCGCTGTTTGGATGACCGATGTTGACATTGATCCCTTCTCTTTCTTTTTGGTTGCCGGTATTTCGTGAGGTTGAGCTTTCTTGTTCGTAATGCTAACAAACACCAACAAGTGGGATTGTCTTAACTCTTGATGCTCGGCAATGAAACATCCTGGGGAGTAGAAGTAGGAAAATTTCCTTTAGGCCAATCCTAGTTTGCCGGAAAAGGAATACGGCTAGCAGCTTCAGACGATCCTTAAGTTGAATGATGCACGGCTAGCATTATTTGTCTTTCTGGTGACAAAACCGGAGACCGACCCAGAAGAATTCACGAGAGCCGATGCGAATACACGAAGGTGGAAGCGCTCTTCGGACGTATGGCGCGTACGGCGGCCCATAATGTCGCGAGAGGCCATCGTGAGCCTGGAACAATTTGGGGAAACTTCTCCTCTAAATCGCGTCAAGAGATGCAATCGATCCAGTGCAGCTTCGAAAACTTTGCAACAAACCTACGGCGCTGTGTTGGGCGTATTCCGCTCAGATAGACGATAGATGCCCACGCTTGATCTTTGGTTGCATATACGAAGAATGGTCTCGCTGCCATAATCACGAACCGAGAATAGACTTTGAACATTTCTTTGCAAATCCAGTTAGCATTACCTCAGCCGGCCCTACAACAATATCCGGCATTCTTGAGGCATACGAATATCTTTACAATAAGACCCAAGAGCTAGCACTTTCGGAATTAGCACCTAATTCGACAATTAAACGATCTCTCTACCCACTTACTAATCACACCGAGTCGCATCGTATTTTTGATACCGATAATAGGGTCAATAAAGTTACGGATTGGCAGACGAGAAGGGAATCAACAATGTTGCGGAAGCGCGATACGCCGTGTCGAGAGTCAGAGCGGCGCAGCGAGGACAGAGCCATTTCAATAATTTGAGGCCACCTCATTTTGATGGGAGGTGGAAGTATGAACATCGCCTGTGTGCCTTGCAGAGTTGGCTACATTAGTTTCATCTGGCGAGCTGGAGTGAGTGTAGCGATATTGCCAACCTATTCCCACGAAGAAGTTCAGCCAAGCCTTCCGTGCTCACCTGTTCCAGTCTGAGCAGTTGATTCTTTTCGCAGCTGGACGAAAACTCGGAGCTCTGCTGCATCAGTCTTTGCTTCTACACGTACCCAAAGGCGAGAAATCAAATCTCACAGTCTCCAGACGAAATTGAGGTGTAGTAGAGACCGCTGGCAAAGCTCTTTGGGCGGTTCTGTTTTCATGACGGTACTAGTACCGATGTCATAGTTAGGCACTCAGTAGGATATGAGTAAAAGCATATATCCACTAGACCACGGGCAAAGTAGGATTTCCCTTCCTTGAACAGCATTTCCGCAAAATTTCGTTCCCATTCTAGGCGGACATTTCTTGGGTGATACGTCCTGTGTAGTGACCAGCTTTGAAGGACTTACAGAGGTCGACAACCTTCCATGCGGGGCGTTATCCGAGATCTTGGCGCAGGAGCCTTGGCGTTCAGTAAAGAGATCACGAAATATTTCGCGTCGCGGATTCACGTGACCTTGCGATTTGCCCACCTTCGGTTCTTCTCTCAGACTCTCGACTGCAATCCCCCGATATATTTGCAGCGACCAGGCTTACTATGGACAGCCTAGATATCGATCAGCGGCCTGCGAAGAAGAGACGCTTCTTTGTCGAGGATTCTCCAGAGCCTGAACGTACTGTATTCTCCACCGCGTCGCCACATAACGACGCGCTCTCCACAGCCAATACCACTCCGCATGAGAAACTGCTTGAGCCCAACTCGAGCCAGACTGATCTCAGTATCCACGATGGCAAAGACGGAATGGCTGTCGATGCCTCGGAATTTTTCGAAAAGGAGACGTTCGAGAGCTTTGTTGGTGATAAAGTGGCGCCGGCTACATTCGATAAGCTACGAGAGGTGTCCGGTGACAATATGGAGCGTGCGATTAACATGTACCTCGACGGCTCGTGGGCCAATGTACCCGCGCCTCCAGCCCCTAGACCTTCTTCGTCATCCATCATGAATGTGTCCAACTCGGGACTTCCAGAGCGGACCTACCAGCAGCACAGGACTGAAGAAAGACGATTATCAGATATCATGGATACAGGGAGCACATTGGATAGAATACCAGACTACAGATATGTAGGTGCCTTCGGCGTTGGGGCATGGGCAACACGAAGTGGTACTGGTCTTATAAAGATGGGAGAAGCCATCAAGATCGAGCGAACGAAGATCAAGGCTCCTGTAAAGATAGGCCGAGGTGGGAAGGCAACCCAGACAAATGCTGCAAGAATGAGGGGCGACGTCATTGTACGCTTTACGAATTCGAGAGGAGAGGAGGTGGGTAGATTACCGAAGGAGACCGCCAATTGGGTGTCTACTTTGATGGACCAAAAGGTCTGTAGGTTCGACGGTGTCTGCTTTCTGGCCCCAGAAAGGGTCCGGGTCAATGATACGATCGAGCTGCAATTGAGGTGCTCGTTGCTAAGGAGAGCATTCGAAGTTGGCGGCTTCCAGAAGCCCGAGGACAACCGGACTACGGGTTTCTTCGAAGAGAAGGAGACGTCCGATGAGAAGAATCTGAGACTAAGGCAGGTCGCTATGGTCAAATTGTTCGACGAGGTCAACCTGCACCCAACGACGGTCAATGATACTACAGCGAGGCACAAGCGGCAGGGCATACTACAGGCTGCGGAAATCGCAGAGCAGTATGACAAGGAAAAGGAAAGCAAGAAACCGAAGTTCAGTAAGGATCCGAAGTCAACCCAGGACGGTAGTTCTACACCGCCTGAAGACGAGGAGGAGGAGGGCAAGGAGCTGGAGCAGGATCAGCTTGATAGCCTGTACAAGAAGGCGCAGTCCTTTGATTTTGACACACCAATAAGAGAACCTTCGGACACCTTTGCTATGGATCTCAGGAAATACCAGAAGCAGGCCTTGCATTGGATGGTGAGCAAAGAAAAGGACGAAAAGTCTGACGATAAAGAGGTGTCCATGCATCCACTATGGGAAGAGTACACATGGCCTGCCAAAGACATGGACGACAAGAATGTTCCCAGTGTAACCAACCAGAGCAGCTTCTACGTAAATCCATACTCAGGAGAATTATCTCTGGATTTTCCTGTTCAGGAGCAACATTGTCTTGGCGGTATTCTAGCCGACGGTAAGTTTTACCACCCATCAATGATTTGGACTCAAACATTGTACGCTGACTAGCGCAGAAATGGGCCTCGGAAAGACTATCGAAATGCTCAGTCTCATGCATTCTTTTATCGGAACGTGCGTTTACCTTTACTGTTTTTCCCATATCCCATGATCCTAATTCCCATAGATCCGATATCTCAATGCAGGCCTCCCAGCCCGGTCCTTCGTCAGTCGCCAACCTGCCTAGATTACCCAAGAACTCGTCAGCTGTCGCGCCTGCACCAAGCACTACTCTCGTTGTGGCTCCTATGTCTCTTTTGGCGCAGTGGGAGAGTGAAGCCGTCAAGGCGTCTAAGCCGGGAACATTCAAGGCGATGGTCTACTATGGTAGCGAGAAGGCAACTAACCTACAGAATCTATGCTGCGAAGCCAACGCTGCATCGGCTCCCAACCTCATCATTACTAGTTACGGTGTCGTGCTCTCCGAATTCAATCAGGTAGCTGCTCGTGGAGGAGACCGAGGGTCGCATGGTGGCCTCTTCTCCCTCGATTTCTTCCGTGTCATCCTAGATGAAGCGCATTTCATCAAGAACAGACAATCGAAAACTGCAAAGGCTTGCTACGAGCTCAATGCCCAGCATCGATGGGTCCTCACAGGAACGCCCATCGTCAACCGTCTTGAGGATCTCTTCAGCTTGGTCCGGTTCTTGCGTGTCGAACCGTGGTCGAATTTCTCCTTCTGGAAAACTTTCATTACGGTGCCCTTTGAATCAAAGGATTTCCTGCGTGCTCTCGATGTAGTGCAAACAGTCCTCGAGCCTCTCGTCATGCGCCGCACAAAGGACATGAAGACGCCAGACGGTGAAGCTTTGGTCCCTCTCCCGCCACGTACTATTGAGATCGAGGAGCTCGAGTTGTCCAAGCAGGAGCGAGAAGTCTATGACTACATCTTCACTCGCGCGAAGCGCACTTTCAATGCCACCATGGAAGCAGGAACGCTGCTGAAGTCTTACACCACCATCTTCGCCCAGATTCTCCGGCTGCGCCAATCCTGTTGTCATCCTGTGCTGACACGGAATAAGGCTATCGCTGCCGAAGAAGAGGAAGCTGCAGCCGCGTCTGATGTAGCGAATGGCCTCGCTGATGATATGGATTTGCAAGAGTTGATCGAACGCTTCACGTCAGACTCGGACTCTGGCGAGCAGGACATAACCAACAAGTTCGGAGCTCACGTCCTGCAAGAGATCCAATCGCAAGCGAACAATGAATGTCCCATCTGCGCCGAAGAGCCAATGATAGAGCCTGCCGTGACAGGCTGTTGGCACAGTGCCTGCAAGAAATGCTTACTAGACTACATCGAGCATCAAAAAGAGAAGCATGCTCTTCCACTATGTTTCAACTGCAGGGAACCCATCAATCAGCGCGACATCTTCGAAGTGATCCATCACGACAACGATGACGAGGATGACCTTTACAGTGCCACACAACCAGGCCAGGCTTCTACACCCCCACGCATCACCCTCCGCCGCATCGGCTCATCCTCATCCGCCAAAATCGCCGCCCTGATCTCCCATCTCAAAGCCCTCCGCGTGAACAATCCTGGCACCAAATCCGTCGTCTTCTCCCAATTCACCTCTTTCCTCGACCTCATCTCTCCCGCCCTCACCCAGGCCAACATCCCCTTCCTGCGCTTCGATGGCGCCATGTCTCAAAAAGCCCGAGCCGCGGTGCTCCTCGAATTCGCTGCCTCGCAGACAAAGAAAAATGGCCATGGTACGGTGCTTTTACTGAGCTTACGCGCTGGCGGTGTTGGCCTGAATCTGACGGCCGCGAAGAGAGTCTTCATGATGGACCCGTGGTGGAGTTTCGCAGTGGAAGCGCAGGCTATCGACCGCGTGCATCGGATGGGGCAGGAGTCGGAGGTCAAGGTCGTGCGGTTTGTCATCGGGGGCAGTATTGAGGGGAGGATGTTGAAGATTCAGGAGAGGAAGAAGTTCATCGCCAGTTCGTTGGGGATGATGAGTGAGGAGGAGAAGAAGATGCAGAGGATTGAGGATATTAAAGACTTGCTGTCGTGAGGCTGCGAGAGGGTGTAGTGTGCTCAGTGGGTGGGTGAGTTGGAGGTTTCTGTACGGGTAGGGTGGATGCTTGGTGCTTTGGATATGCTGTTGCTTGTTACAATATTGTAAACGTCTTGCTCAGGGAGAAAATTTGGCTGTACATATATTAGCATCCAAAACCTAGTGTGTAAGCACATGTGTGTCACAGTGTCACGTTCATCTATCGTCTATCAAAGAGTATTACTACAATGAGGTCTTCCATGCTCATTCGGAAATGGCGTCAAATCTTGAGGACACATCCAAGATCCTTGCTCATGACCAGGCGGAACCTTAACTTCTGACCTCTTCAATGCCCACTTCTCTCTTTCTCTTTCCCTTTCCCTTTCCCTGACTCCTATTCTTCCCCATCAAGTCCCCCAACACATCTCCTGCCCCCAGCCCTTCTCCACCTCCCTTTCCCCCCTCGCTTTCACCTTCGTCGTCCTCACATTTTCGTGCACCATCTCCCGTCTTCTCTTCCAGCACACCCAACCCCAAATCCATCTCAATGTACCCTCCCTCCCGGGCCCCTCCTCCCACCCCCTCAATATTCCGCTCCTCCAACCTCCCTTCCCTCCTCTCGGTCTCCAAGACTTCATTCGCACTCTTGATCTTCGGCAGCAGCGCATTCAGCCTCGCCTGCAGATGCGACAGATTATCGGCCGTAAGCGAGGCGACGGATAGAGGTGGAGGCAGTGAAGCGTGCGTGCTGCTGAAAGACGAGACGGCGGAGTCGGCGGAGGAAGACGATTCGGACGCGGATGAGGAGGATCTTGATGTGGAGGAGGCGGATTCATCGTCTGCGGATGAGGAGGAGAGGACGGAGACGAGGTCGGAGGCGGAGGTGGAGGATGCGTAATCCGTACTTGTGCCGCTGCTGGTGGTCGAAGGGTTGAGCATACGAGGGAAAAGGGACGGCAGGTGCGGGTATTGCTGTCGTCGTTGTTGGCGCGGGGAGTCGGCGCTTGAGGTGGAAGTGTAGCCGACACTGTCTGTTTCTTCGCTGCCGCTGGAGCTGGATGCGTCGCTTTCGGATTCCGAGGGCTCGGAGGAGCTGGTGATGGAGCTGCTGTAGGAAGGGGTTGAGGGATGGAGTCTCCGAGAGGGTGTGATCGGTGCTGGCGAGCCTATGAGTGTTTGGGGGCTCGGAGCTATCGACGGGGTCATAGCATGGGCTGGGGAATCTGTATCTGATGCCCCGGCCTGCCGCCTTCTCTTGCTGGAGAGGGTCATTGGTTTGCGGTCAATGTCTTCGAGGGCTCTTTTTTTGCTCTTCTCCATACTTAAGTGTAGTGATGCTTCAATTGAATCACTGATTATACTCAATGATGGGTGCCGGGTGATCGAGACAAGTCCCATGTTTGAGAGACTCCGAGATTGTCTAGCAATCGGTGGGGGACGATGATGGCAAGTTTTGGCGGGGCGGCTGCAGATCACTTTTCGGGCCTTCCCGTTCTTGCGCAATTAGCGCGGGACTTCTGATAGGGCTGGAAAGGAATGAGGATTGAGGATTCGCACCGCCTTTCTTTTCGTTCACCGCTGGCATCTGTCCTTATATTCAAAAAAGCCAGTACATTCGGAAATCTTCGGTGTGTCAAGCTCGGGCTTCGCTGATTTATAAGATCTAGAAGTGAAGGGCAATTCATTGTATTATTATCCCCTTGCATCGACATGCAGACATAACTCTAACATTTTTGAAGGAGCCGGAGCTGACCTGGCCTTTGGACGAGCCCATAATTAATATTCCAATGACAGCAACGTCATGACTTATGAGCTTTGAGCCGTCCAGGCCTTAAAGTTCTATCAACTCCTCAACAGCTGCAACTCTTACCATTGTCAAGCAAGGTCGTCACGAATCATTCGTAAGGTCCTTTTCCTGAGCGTCTAGCCTGAAACACCGTCAGAGCCCCTCCACAGTCTCATCCAGTGAGTCAACATCATCGATTGCAGAGTGAATGAAGCAGACTTGCAACATGTTTATAACCTTGTCCCTGTTTGAGACTTGTTTTATCACTTGATGAATGGCCAGTAAGACTTATGGTCAACCCAAATGGTGGCGAATGACTTCTATATATAAACTCTGCTATCCCCGCACCTACCATGTACATTGCCTTTGCACTCATCGAGTTTCTGATAATCTACCTTGCATATCACACCATCTACATCTATCTTCTCTTAAAGTACTTGCAAAATCTATGCCACTATGCCGCTTACTCTTGATCATCTATTGCGATCTGACCACGGTGCAAATGGCAGAATTTTTCTCACAGTCCATATCCAACAGGTCCTTGCTAGCCTCCCTACCCTTCTGAAAAGCCCCGGAATGGCTTCACCAACCTCGAGATTCTCCGGTACTGGAGCTCTAAGCCCCGTCTCCGAGGATGAAAACGTCAAAGTCGCCCGCCGATTGACACTCGTACGCAATCTCCGCGCACCAGCTTTCCAATACGCATGGACATTCTACCATGACAAATACACAGACTCTCAAAACTATGAAGGCCGTCTCACCCTCCTGAAGGAGGATATCGTTACCGCCAAACCGTTTTGGGAGGTCCTGAATTCCTTCCCGTTCGACGCTCTCAAGTTGAAGGACTCTGTACACTTCTTCAAACGGGGGGTAAAGCCAGTATGGGAGGACCCCCGCAACGTCAAAGGCGGCTCATGGACGTTCCGCGTGCCGAAGGCGCAGTCCGAAGATTTCTGGAAGGAGGTCCTGATGCTCGCAGTCGGCGAACAATTCGTCGACGTGATCCAACCACGCAAGTACCACCTACCTACCCAACGCTGCTCACCTCCACCGCTGACCCAAAACGCAGGCGACGATCTCTGCGGCCTCTCCATGTCCGTCCGCTTCAACTCGAACCTCATCACCATCTGGAACCGCGACGGCGCCAACGAGAAGACCAAAGATGGCATCCTGGCCGTCGTGCTCGAGAATGTCTCGCCCGAACTCAAACCCCAGCCGAGGAACTATTACTACAAGAGACACAGCGAGCACGCCGGGTTCAGCGAAGTCGTCGCGAGGGCGAGCGAGAGGTCGAAGGAGGCGGAGGAGGGGAGGATAGCGGAGGCGGAGGTTAGGGGCCCGGAAGGAGACGAGGCGCTGTTGAAGGATGTTGAGGGGATAGATCTCAAGGAGTTGGGTGGAGTGGCCCCGGCATGAGGCGGGTTTTTGCGGATTTGTGAGCGGAGTAGCTGGGGTTTTTGGGATCTGGTTGGGAAGAGTTACGAGTTGGACGCGTATTGTGGGGTCTGTGGCGGTCATGTCATGCATTTACGAGCCCACAGATTTCATAGCACGCGGCATGTTCACGGGATTTGACCATTCGTTCTGTCTTATCAACTCAAAGCGATCTTTCATCATACCCTACCCTCCAGACCTTTACAATCTGCCCCTTGAAGCGCGAAACAACCTTACCCTACCCCGACGCTCGCTCCTGCCTATTCTCAACACCCACCCCCCCGCCCCCATTCCTCCCCTCAAACTTCCTCCTCTGCTCCTCCCTCACACCCGGCGCCGCATTCACATTCCAATGCGTCCTCATGATCCTCTCAAACATCACCGCCGAGCTCTCCCCCTCCACCCGCTCCCCCGGCCCAAACGCCCCCACAACCCCACTCTCAAAATCCCTCGTGAACAGCGGCGCCGGCGCCGCGCGCAACGTGTACACGATGCTGAAACGGTACGGATCGGCGGCGTCATTCTCGGCGGACGGCGCGCACACGACCCGGTGCACACCGGCTCTGTACACGCCGCGGGAGAGGAAGGCGAGCGTCTCGCCGGCCAGCAGCGTGGCCGTCAGTCCGCCCGAGCGCGCGACGGCGCCCGGGGGCAGATTGGCCTCATCTTCGACGGAGACCCAGGCGTTGGAGGTGGGATCGAGCGCCTGCAGGCCGGGGGAGCGGCCGACGACGAGGGAGAGCAGGCCGAGGTCCTTGTGCTTCTCGGCGTTGACTTTGGGCCCCGCGGTCGCGGCGGCGGGGCGGTCGTAGCGGAACATGCGGACGAGGGTCGGGGTGCGCTCGGTGCGGGGGAAGGCGGTGCAGGGGGCGACGAAGGGGGAGAAGACGTCGGGGTCGAGGGAGAGGGTGTGGGCGATGGCGGTGGTGATGCTGGCCAGGAAAGCGCCGGTGAGGTCCCAGGCTGTTTGGAGCTCCGGGCGGAGGGTCGAGGGGCAGTGGACGGAGGTTTTGACCGTCATGATGCATTTCTCGTGCGGGATCTGCGAGTACCCTTCTTCGCTCGCGGCGGCGCCGCTGGCGGCTTGGTGGTTGGTCTTTTCGGGGGAGTCGGGGGGCAGGTTGAAGAACTTGGAGGTCTGGGCGAAGAGTTGGGTGTATGCTTCTACCATTCCGGGGTGGTCTGATAGGGCTAGAGGGAGGTAGCCTTCGGATGCTAGGAATTGGAGAGCGTGGTCGTCTGATACTTGTCTTTGGGCCATTGTACCTTTTGTGCCCGTGACCAAAATGAGAGAATGCCTCTCTTGATTGTCGTCAATTTGAAGAGTAGCGATAGGACCTATAGGACGAGAAAGAGAAAAGAGAGATGGATCAAGCGGGGCTCATGTCACGACGTCATCGAACCTTATTGATTCGGACTCTCCTGAAGGTGTTTGATCTCCAGTCGACTTATATAAGAATGCATCCAAAAGCCGCATACATACTTAGATATACCAAAGCCGCCCGGCGTACTGAGTGGCAACGAGGCGAAGTTTGGATCTGCCACTAAACTCATTTCGGAAGGTCTTGGCATTCGCAGCACTCTTACCGATTGGCTTCTTACACTGCAAAGACTTTTCCACTCATAAGCAACAATTCTCAGACATAGTGTCTTCGCTCAGTTGTTGTCGAGGTTGAAGAGTAGCGACACAATCTAGGAAATGGCAAAAAAGGTAGAGAGGTATGAAGCTGGGCTTACAACTAAGGTACAATTCAGTGGCTTTCAGATCTCCTTGACTTTTTTATATCCAGTCAAACTTGTAAATGTCTATACCTTTGAGCTGCATATTTGGATGGGTGGAAGCAGGTGTCGTAGAATGAGCTCAAGAGGGATCTAGGGCAGCAGCGGTGATGTTGTCTAGATTCGCCACCAAACCCTTTTCGGAGGCTCTTGGCGTTGAATATTCCAAACACAGTTGCAACCACTATGATTCACTCTCACTCAATTCTTCTAACACCTTTACAAATTTCAGACATTTCCATCAAAGTGGCTTCGCGTTGTTATCGGATTCAAATCGATGCAAGAACTCCCCGTACGTATACAGAAAGAACATCAGACACGCCGGTGTCACTACGTCCAGTGAAGTGAAACAAGCTCGTTATTGCTGTATGTTGTATGCCCCATCAAGCCGTCCAGAAGCCGGACTGATCAAAGACGTTGAGACAACACCTACTCATGAACCATTACCCTCAAATCAAGACAAAAAGGCGCCCAAGAAACAGAGCGATGTCGTTCTTCTCCTGTCTACATAGACACTTCATTGAGATTACCGAAAGGTTCAACACTGATGAAGAACCACGCCACCATCCTGATCAAGAGGGATTTCGACCCACAGAAAGAGAGTGGCGTGCGAGGAGGATAGCAGAGCTCGAGAAGTGGAAAAGGCCAGAGCAAATGCCCATCTCAGCTGAAACCGTATTCCTAGGTTGGTTCCGAAGCATGAAACCTAACTGCTATTTCCGCAAGACCAGAGAACCAGAGACCATTGATGACGCCTGGAACGGACTTTCTCTTAAAAAGCGTGAGCATTATCTGGCCAAAGCAAAGAAGAACGAAATCTACAACACTGCTAAGCTTGCCAAGTTTAACAAGCACTGCCCACTTTCACCCTCGGTGGTAGATCTATCATTGACATGGGCATCCCTGTCGGAGCGGGAGATCCAAGACTGGCTACTGATTGGACCACGCCATGCTGCATTGCAAAAGTGGAAAAGATATCGTTTCGATCATCCCAGGGCTTGCGGGGGCCGCGAGACACCTGTACCAGAAACACCGTTCCGAATCATGGACCTCCCTTTCGAATTGCGGCGAGGTATTTTCTCTCTCGTGCTGAGTCAATCGTATCCAGTGCTTCAGTTTCCCTCAGATGGGTCGGCAGATACGCTAACAGGGCCGGTCGATGTGAGGCTCTTTGCTGCGAGCAGACAGGTGTTTGCAGAAGCTGTGAGAATCTTTTACGAGGAGAACACCTTCAGCATAGATACCAAGCCCAGCAGGTATTACAAGGACATACCTCTTTTTGTACGGCAGAGCACAGGGAATGAAGTGCCGAGACCGACAGATTTAATCAAGAGGGTGAATGTCAATGTAACATTGACACTAACAGATCGTACCGAAACAGACGATTTTCTTTTCCTTTGGAAGAAATTCTGCGAATTTCTGAGGACGTGCAGAAACCTGCGAAAGGTTGTGGTCACCGCGCGGAGGGCTCAAAGCTTCCAGGAGGCGATCGACAGAGCCATAGACCGGAAGATCGACAAATTGATTGAGATGTTGATGAATATCAGAAGCGCCCATGAAGCTGTTTTCTCGGATATTACGATATCTGAGGAATCAGTACAAGAGCCTTCATGTTGGCATAAACGGCGGATAACAGGCATTATTGTTCGAAGCGGCTCAGGAAAAGGAGCAGCGATGGCCGCTACAGAGACGCAGTGGCGCACGGCATGAGTGCAGAGACACTACTAAGATCCGATGCTGGCGGCCAATCGTCGAAATGGTATCGACCGGAGTTCGGTCGGACCACAGTCACAATGCTTTGCGTATTACAAGCCATCAGCATCGATTGAGTCTCTAATGAAAGAGCAAGAATGACTCACACATGTCAGATAGTCGACAATGCATCTTCGTGTCCTTCCGGTTCACATTGCGAGTCGGTAGACTTGCACTCTACTCCTTCAATCTATTGCCATCGGTGTTGGATCGTGAATGCGTGCGCGTCCTTGTGCTGCCCAAGGCCATACTTAAACGCCTCATTCGTCGTCCTTACGCCCCTGAAGATCACCGGAAGACCCCCGCCCTCCTCATGACTCCCTCGAAGTCCTTCAACCCTACCCCTCTGCCCACTCCACTGCCTCCATTGGCTTCCAACAACATATCCTTCATTGTCTGCTCCCCAACATCTTCCTTCAATTCCCGTGCCACCCTCCTCAAACAAGCCAATGTGATCTTGCCGTCCTCACCACCCAGACTCGTGAACAACCTGAACGCATCCTCCACCTCTCTCTGTTGGCTCTCCTCACTCTTGTTGCTCAATTGTAGCGCCGCGACGGCAACGAAATGCGCATAAGATATAGTTCCAGTATCTTCAGGATCTGCGGCATCTAGCAAGTCTTGGAGCTCACTCGGCGAGGAAGCAGGGACGCCGAGAGCCGTGAGCGCTTGGCGCAGGGACCGGGAGGGCAATTCCTTGTCCGAATTGGCGAAGAGGGAGAAAGCCTCTTTAACTTCAGATTCGGTGGCTGCGCTGATGTTGTTCTCTTTGGCAAGTGCGGATTGGCGGGGTTGCTTTTCCTTGGGTGCTGGCGCTGGAGCAGCTGCGCGGCGTTTTGGAGGCTATTCGGCAATCAGCATTGGGACACTGGAAAGGGAATGAGAGCTAGAAGTGCACCATGCTGGGTGTTAATGAGGTCACGATACGATGATGGTATGATAGGTGAGGGGTGGTCGTTTACACAAGCCTCGGTACGCGTGATTACCAGAACTAGGCAAAGTTGCGAGACGAGGCACAAATTTGTTCTAGTGCAGCAGTCTGATATACAACAGTACATGTTCCTCAGGAGTGAATCCGATTGAAGGAATGTTTCGCACGAGACTTTGTCCTTCATTATTAAACCATTCATCACCGGCTTATTGACCTCATCGACAGCCGAGAGAGGCAGCTGCGGCTAATCTATCGTCTAGCGGCAACGCCACAGAGCCTTGGTGCCTCTCGCCGATGCCTCTTCAGGTGCTCCTTGCGCTTCCTACTCTTGGCCTTCCAACACACGCACGGATTGTCCAACTCTGTGGCCATTATTGCAACTACTTCCATATTGCTGCTTCCGCTGTTGGAGCAATGATGCGATTGGACATGATGTCTTTACAGGAGCCATCCTCCTGCAGCTTTATAAAGACATCGTGTCCGTCGTACACGTGCTGGAGGGATCCAGCTGCGTAGCACACCCTCAGCTCGCATATGCAACGGACGAAACCTTACTGATACACACCTTCTCCTACTGGCCAAGCTTTACCCAAGCTCCTGGTGCTTCATACGACTTCATTACAAGAGGATTAATAGCCTTCGTAACCACATGTCTCCAACCTGGACACTTTCCCAAACACATCCATGAAGATTCTCATTATTGGCGCTGCAGGTACGCGTCGGTCCTCATATTCTTTGAAACATCTCCATATCCTTGGACACGCGTACTGACAAGCCTCTGCAGGCCGAGTCGGCTCAGCCGCCCTCGCGGCATGCCTCACTAAGCAACACCACGTCACCGCCTTCCTCCGCAACCCCTCCAAGCTGCCCCCCGAGCTGCACAACCACCCCCGCCTCCGCATCACCCAAGGCGACGCAACCTCGCACTCCTCCCTCGTCGAAGCGATCGAGGACACCGACGCCATCATCCAAGCCGCCGTTTACGGCTCCAACACGCCCTTCGGCACCTCGGATTCGGAAAAGGTCGTCCGCTGCATCATCAACGCCGTCAAAGAAGTGCAAGCGTCACGCCCGATACGGTCGAGGCCGATAAGACTGTGGGTGATGTCCGGGCAGGTGTTGATGGACATTCCGGGGTATGCGGGCAAGATTGAGGGGGATGTGTTTCCGATCCATCCGGAGCATTACAAGAACTACGACTTCTTGCGGAACGATGCCAAGGATGTGGATTGGAGCTTGCTGTGTCCCGGGAGGATTGACCAGGGGGAGGTGAGGGTGCTTTTGTATAATATTCGCTGAGAATTTCTGTGTGTATATGTGCTCTGCGGTCAGGTTCTGTCCGAGGACTGACTTTGTATTTTCTTTCGCACTTCAGCCCACGGGTCCTTTGGTGGTCACGACGGATCGGGTTGGGCTTTGGCAGGAACCTTGGATTGCGGGGAGGATACCTTTTATCGGGCCAGCTCTGAACGTCATCTATAATTGGAAGCAGCAGAGATTGACGTACGCTTCTGTTGGGGAATTCTTATCTAATCACCTCGGTCCTGGGGACGAATGGAGAGGGAAAAGGGTCGGCTTGCTCGAGGACGCGAGCAAGCATGTCGGAAATCGATGAAGCTTAGTGAGCGGCTTCGCGACAATGTACAATACTTGTCCTGTAGACAAACAACCCTCGTGCGCTTGGTCGCTCGCTTGCACGTTAGACACGACTTGTACAATAACGAAGGCTAGTCGCTTCTTGTACATATGATTGGACGAATCTACATCACACGACACTACATGATGATCCCAACACAGGCAAAACTCCCGACGAAGGAATGCTGACAGCTTTGATCCCACATACCGCATCAACCTTCCCCAACCGTGCCAACGCCCGCCCGCTCGCTCGCTCCTGATGGATCTAGCGCCCACAGCCCACCCAACCTACCTAGGAAACGCCCGGCGCAACCGAGAGCTGCGATTCGGTCACTCGTTCATCCACCCCGTTCTAACAAAAACAACACAAAGACGTGATAATCGCGCAGGGTGGACCGGGCTCTCGGGCACGCGTGGAGAATCTCGCGCCGCGCTGCTGATGATGAGGTGAGTAAATGACTCGTGGGATAATGATGATGCATGCATGCACGAGGATGGCATGGCATGACGTCTTTCCGGTCAGGCTGGACGCAGTAAAGGAAAGTACTTTAGGTAAAAGTGAGTAAAAATGCAGCCGCCGGACGGAGAGGAGGGTCGATTCATGAAACGGGGTATGTGAAAGGCGGCTTTCGCAAGCCTAGCCCTTTTGGGGCAGGGCTTGGGGCTCGTGTCGACGGCGTAGCTTTGCGTGGAGTTCAGCACTTTGCGGCTATATGTACCTTGCACGGAGAGACCGAGGTGGTTTTTTCTGTGATGAGTGATACTGTATACATAAATGGAATTGACAACTCGCTTGTCGCTCGATTCGGAAAGGGGTTGCGGACGGTAAGTCAAGAAACTCCGGATTCAGGCGCAATATGCAAGGACAGCCATACCCTTCATGCACCTCCTCCATTGGCGTCTTTTCCCGCGTCCGGATCTAAGGGTTTGGAAGCATCGTAGCCCACCGCTTTCACAATGCCCAACCCTTTCGTCCTTCCCTCCCTGAACAATATCCGATCGCCGACCGCCATATACTCTGGTCTTTGCACAAATCGGAATGCCACGGTCGCCCTGTCCCCTGTTCTGATGAACGCTCTGTCAATGTCAATGATGGCGCATGTCTGGCTGATCGGGCCTACATGCAACATGGCCTGATACTTCGTCTTGATGGTGGTTGCGTGCGAGAGGATTAGGACTTCGGCGATGAACTCCCTGTAGACTTTGGGAGGAGCGTCGAGTTTTGGGAGCACGACCATGCCTTTGCGGACTTCTTTCCTTCGGATCCTTTTCAGAGCGAAGGAGGCAGATTGACCGGCGCTACAAACGGGGACTGGGATACGTTTCCGTTCAATGGAGCGGATGTGGGTTGTGGTGAACTGGCCTAGGGAGTCAGGCCCTATCAAGACAGCATCGCCGGCATGGATGACGCCACTTTTGACAACGCCGGATACGACTGTGCCGACGAAGGGCACGGAGAAGGTGTCATTGACGTGGAATTCAAAGGGGGCTTCGGCGTCGTAGTTTCCGTGGTGCGGAAGAATGTTGAGGAAGGTCCGGACGAGGTCGAGGGATTCACCCGTGACGTTTGAAACTTGGAAGACAGGACAGATGCGCTGACTGACGAATTGCGTGGCCGTTTCGATGGTATCTTCTCGGTTCTTGATGAAGATAGGGATTTTCCGCGCGCCGGGTGATTTGAGGATGCGGGTAAGCTGGGTGATGGTTTGCTGGAGGATTTGAGGTGGGCAGATGTCGATTTTGGTGATGACTACCATTACTGGGACATTCAGGGCGAGGGCGATACCCAAATGTTCTCTGTGTACTGGTAAGTTTTCGTCTCTATTCCGGCTAGGAAGCTTCCGTACTTGCTCATTCCAATGAGACCATTATTTGCAGCGACCATGAGTAGGCAGTAGTTTGGGCTGCTACTCAGCAACCCAAAGACTGTTGTCCGTAGATATCGCTCGTGGCCGGCCAAATCTGTGAAGCTGATGACTTTTGCCTTTGTCATGGTTAGCCGCTGTGCTTGCTTGAAAACTTGAGAGCCATACTGAGCGTTTGCCAATCTCTTCCCATGACAACTTCCGGCCAGGCACATTTGAGGCAACAATGTCCCCGCGCGTATCGAAGCCCATGATCTCCATGCCGACGGAACTTGTCCGTCCACTTTCGATTTCGTGCTTATGCCTGAACAGGTTGACCCGTGCTTTGCCTCGGCCATCGTCGAGGCCTCCCTTGACAAGCACACCCAGCATGGTGCTTTTGCCAGCATCCACTATGGGGCCGGTTAGCTGGAGAATTCGATCCAGTGAGCATCACTCCTACCATTTCCCACTACCGCTATTCGAGTCTCAATGACATCTTCTGGGGTCTCGGGCTCCTGCCGTATCATGATCTTCCCCATAGCACTCTGGTGCTTCTCGTTCACCGTCTCTACCTCTTCAAGCCCTCCCACATTTCGCGTCATAAGTATTCGGCATTCCGCGTGCAGTAACTTCGCAGCCCGCCGTATCCTGTCTAACGCAACGTCCCACTGCTCTTTCGAAAACGACATTGACTCTCCATTGTCTTCCTGCCCGAGGTCGAAAAGCGTCTCTCCATTGCCTTCCAACATGCGCTTCTGCAGGACTTCGCTGAGTTGTTGTAGAGTCACCTCAGCATCTTCGCCCGAATCCAAGAGCAGGTCTTTCAGTCGGACTTGAGTGGAAGTCTCGGCGAGATTGAGGGAATCAAGAATATCTAGCTCAGCGTGCTCTTCACACTGGGTGCTTTGAGTGGAGTAGCCACTGTCGCTTGGGGCTACAGAGCCTGCGCGGCCGGCGGAGGGGCGGTTCTTTTGCTGCTTCTCGACGTAGTCGGCGAATTCACTCAAAGCCTAGACCGCAAGGCTTGATCAAAATCACGCATCACGATCCAACATAGGACTCCATACCGACTCCCCTTTCCGGCGCTCATGCGCAGTCTGTTTTTGCATCCCCGCAGTCATGTTGGCCAGTAACAGATTAGGCTATCCTATGTCTTGGGAGATTGAAAACCCCTGGGCCAGCCATTAGAGGCGTTTCAGTAGTCCATTATCTTTATGTTTAAATTTTTCTATTCAAAGTAGGAATAGTTGTGCATGTAATGGGAATAAGGCAAGAATGTTTGTTGAAGTACTTGGTAGAGTCGCTATCGATAGTGACGCATACCGAGTCATGCCAAGATCGTCCCCGATCGGGCATAAAGTAAGCGCCGCCCTATCATTGCGAGATCTAGATCGATGCATGAATTACATGTAGGCACTTACATGGTACTCCTTTACACACAGGACCCAGTCGAGCAGTCTGCTTAAATCTACAGATAATCATCTAACGTCTCTCCTGAGTCTTCCTGTCTTCCATTACATTACTGTTGTAGACTCTTGATTTCCTCTTTTCTCTCCATCAATACCGCTTAATAGTGGGCTTGCCATGAGGCAATGAAAGAGTAATTAAGCTCGCTTCACCCATTTTCAGCGCCTTCCTTTTTACTTTGCTCCAGTAGCATGACTCGTCCCTGCCTTGTCGGTAACACAGCTATCAATGTCACACACATGATCAGAGAGGTAGCATCCATCAACGCCTATGACTGTACATGATACATTCTACTAGGCAGTGCATTCGGAAGGGGCGGGAAGCCGGCCAGATTGATCGCCAATTCTGATGCACATGGACCCAGGTGCTACTTTACATCAGTGCTCAAGACCTACCACCCTGCTACTACGCAACTACCCACGTTCAGGGGTTGGATCTAATTCAACCAATCGCTGTCGGAGGATCCCATACACCATCAGCAAGCAGAACTGCAGGAAGCCGTCAGAGTAATTGATGCGCAGAATTCTGCGACGGTAGGGCTGTGCTTCCCCCTAGGCACTCGCGTTTCACTATGAAGATCAGCAACAGCTTTGCCCTACCTGTTACAGCATGGACGAAAGACGTTCAGACCAGCATTCAAACACACCTCGCTTCGCTCGACACTGTCCATTCTCAAACCCTTCCACGCAGCATGCGGCTTCCTCCGATGCTAATCTTCTATTGTTCGACCGCTTGCATGTTCGAAACGAAGGACATGTGCTGCCTCTTTGTAGCGCACGCTTTCGCATCTTCGCATTGTCCATATTCTTCTGCCTTGCATAACCCATCATGGTTGGTCGATGTATCGCCAAATGGCGACTTCACACCACGCAGAGAACGCTCTGCATGAATTGTACTTCCCGAAGATCCTTTCAAGGCTGTTCCTATGTGAAGCCAATTGGCAACCAAATATGCATTCCCTCCTCGGTTCAGCCCGGGCGGACGGCTCTTGCCGTCTTCCACGTCACGCAACAGGCGGTCTCCTATAAAACAGATTTGGCGCCGGAATTTCGGACCCTGTGCTTTGTTGATGGGCAGCTCTCCTTGCCTTTCTCCCAATTAGGCAGAGCAAGATCTTGCCTTCCCCTTACATCCAGCCTCTGATGCTGCAGGCCTCCGACGGTTGCGACACAGCTGTCTGCTTTTTTACTCCTCAACTTCTATCTTTAGCAATGTCAGGCGGTGTTGATATCGAGCATTTCCCACTAAACAATTACTCCAAAGACTTATGTAGCCGAGCGAAAAGCCCACTGCTTCTCCTTGCGGTCCCCGCGACAAGTCGTCGTCTTGTCTCAACCCCTCATTCTCCTTCCTTCCCTGCCACTGCTGCTTCATGCTTGAGGTGGTCGTTATGAACAGCTCTCGCTTTCTACCTACAATTCGGATGGCACATTGTCTCCAGCCTCTTACTCGATCTGTGCCATCTTGTCAGACGGTCGTCCTGCGAAAACCTTAACCAACGGAAGGTCTCCTACCCACTTCCTGCATCACGAAACACGCGTCATTCTTCTTGTCTCATCCACTCAAGGCTCATCCACTCCAGTCTTCTGCTCAGCCTCTGCTATGTATACGCTGGGATTTGTTGCCTGAAACATCCTATTCAATGAAGGATAACACATTCTCTGTTCCATCCAGGCGAAACGTTCTCCCTTCTCTCTATGGTGTGGATAGCACGAGACCCTCTCGTATCGTTTTCTGCCTCTTACTTCGTCCCCGTTGTCTCACAAGCCGGCAGCCTTATCATGAGTACAGGAGGGAGATTCTCGCTCTCTTCTTGTATTCTTGTATTCAACAAGTACAAACAGCAGAAGAATCTACATACACATCAATTCACCTCAGCATTACGCAAACAGCTTCCATACACCCACAGCATACATCCACAGCATTCTCAAGGCTTCATACAAGCAAAGAAAACTCACCAACAACATCAAACCACCAAACATCAGCCACGATGCCGGACCACCAACAGCCCTCATCTAGCGCTCAAGCGCCTAGCGGCAGTAGCAACACTCCTGCTTCGGAGGTTGCAATCGAACGCTTCGGAAAAGTCAGTGGCGATCATCAGCAATTCGCTGGCGCTTTGCCTGCATACATCACGATTGTCCCGGATGATAACGAGGGCCCTTTAAACGATCAAGACGGCAATCTGACCAGCACAGATTTGGTAGTCGGAGGACATATGTTGGTGACTGCCACAGAAGAAAATCGTCGGCAAGCATTAGCCAGAGGTGAGAATGTTGATGATAGCACGGATCTCATGCGGTTTCTTCTCAAAATGGGCGATAGAGTCAGCCTGATATATTCTTCGGGAAGTCGTCTTATCGCAGTCAAAAAGATCAACTGAAGGAATGCAGAGGGTGTGGGTGAGTAATGGGCGGACATGGGGAGTAGTTGACAGGATTTCATGCCTCGGCAGCATCGAGAGTTCCGAGGTCATTGGGTTTCCTTTCGGCGCAGGCGCCATGATACATCGGACAATGATGGACTGCATTGCTCTTTCAGCTTCCAGCGTTTGCCATTGTTTTGGCGTTTGGGAAGGAAATCATGCATATCTGTTCTTGAGTCCTTTGGGTTGGCGTTCAGGAAGATCCATGCGTTGCTGCGCTTCGAGTCTTTTGTTTCTACGTCAGCACTAATACTCCAACCACCGAGGTTGCTCACTTGAGGGCATACGATCAATAAATATTTTAAACCATACGGGCAGATAAATCCCTATGACTTGAAATTATATGTTGGGGCTGTTTCAGGGTGATCATAAGAGTCATAGTTGATGAGAATGTTACTGCTAAAGAGTAGTGGTGGCAGTAAGGTAATGTACTAGATATGTCCGTGTGCCAAGGCGCTACACGTGTACTTGTAGTCCTGCCATGGCATGTAACACTTCAGATCTTTTGTAGCCTCACTTCGCTTTCAAGCTTTGCTTATCTCTTCCCCTTACTCGAAACACGGCGTGAATGTAGCAAGACCAATTTTCCCTACTCAGAGGAATCATACAAAGCTCGCAAACCAACATGGACGCTGAACACCAGTTGCGGCCTTGCGCACGCTCTGCGTGCGACGCTCGTCGCAATCAATCTTCCACCAGTTCATGCTGTGATGGTACTTCAGTGCCCTTCTTTGTCTAAGGATGTGCCACTGATTTTACGTAGATAAATGTTTGGATGCCATCGCACAAGCCTCGGCGACGCAGGCTGCCAACAACGTCAGCGATCAGACTCGATCAACTCCTTGCACAGGGATACTGCATCCTTTGGCACAATGGAAAGCCGCACTTGAGCGAGCAGAGTGTCTCTGTGCGGAAATGCTTAGGATGGGACTGCCTTCCTGCTGTGTCACAGAGCCTACTGAACCGAAAATGGCCGGCCCGAAGAAACCTTCCTGCACTGGGAGCCTTGAAAGCACAACGAAGCTGAGACCAAAAGCTACCACTGGCGACCAACAAGTTTGCTCCGGCGTTATGTCTAATTCGAGGGCATGCTGCTCCTCGTCAACCACAACGAAAACAAGTTGCTCGTCTACGCCTGGCCCAAAGACTTCTGGCTCCAATCCACCCGAAGCCAAAACCAATCAGTGTGACACTCAAGGGCTTACCACGAAGACGTGTTGCCCTTCTACGCCCAGCACTAAAACAAGTCAAGTTCCAACCACCCAGCACAGCGGCTCCTCTTCAGATAGCAAGCTTCACGCTGGTCACCAGAACCTCATACCTGCTGCCCTTGATCTAGAGAAAGGCTCTAAGGTGGAGCACGCCGTCACCCATATCTCAGGCATGACATGTACTGGATGTGAGCGAAAGTTACAGCGCGTGCTCTCCAGTATTGCCGGAGTACAGAATGTCAAAACGAGCCTTGTTCTGGGACGGGCTGAGTTTGATGTTGATGCGGGGGTTTCAATAGTGGAGGTCGCCTCTTCATTGGAGAGACAGACCGAATTCAAATGTACTGTCTACCGGGATGGTCACCAGCTCGAAGTTCTTTTACCCGGACGTTCGTCTGCTCCAGCGTCGAGACTTGGGACCACGGTGGCCTCCGAGAAGGATTTGGATCTGCTTCATCGGGGCCTTGCAGGTCCTACTTATCCCTCCGGTGTGCAAGACGTTCAGGTCATCGATATCAAGGGGCGAGAGTGGAAGTCCCGTACTGCTAACGATGGCCTCCGCCGTCGCTTGACTTTCAGGATGTTTCAAACCAAGCCTCAAAAGTATAGCGTGCGGATCACCTACGATCCTCGAATTGTTGGAGCTAGGGACCTATTAGAGAAAGGCTTCGGTGGTCCATTATCGCTGGCACCCCTCAGTTCAGATCACGCGACGGCCACTGACACTGACCATCTCCGCAAAACACTATGCTTAACTTTGCTGTCGGCGTTTCTGACGATACCTGTTCTTGTCCTGTCTTGGGCTCCACTACCCTCTCACAAGATCGCTTATGGATGCGGTTCGCTTACGCTGGCGACACTGATCCAGTTCATCGTTGCAGGCCCTTTCTATCCCAAGGCCGTGAAGGCCTTGCTTTTCTCTCGCATGATCGAAATGGACCTTTTGATTGTTATCAGCACTACCACGGCCTATATCTACTCATTGGTGGCTTTCGCTTATGAAACCAAAGGTAGACCTCTGTCTACGGGGGGATTCTTCGAAACCAGCACTCTCTTGGTCACGTTAATCATGTGTGGCCGACTCGCAAGCGCCTACGCTCGTCGGAAAGCCGCAGACTCGATTGCCGTGCAGGCTCTACAGCCATGCACAGCGATTTTGTCCGAAGACAGGAAGGAGAGGCTGATCGATATCCGTGAATTTCAGTATGGTGACCTGTTCAAGGTCCTACCGGACAGCATCATTCCTACAGATGGGATCATTGTGTCTGGGGAGACCGAGATCGATGAATCAATGGTCACTGGTGAAGCGGTTCCCGTACCCAAATGCTCGGGCTCGCAGATCATCGCCGGCTCTGTAAACGGCCCTGGCCCTATTTTAGCTCGATTAACGAAACTGCCTATGGACAACACTATCAGCAGGATCGCGAGTCTGGTTGACGAAGCCAAATTTTCAAAGCCCAGAGTCCAAGCGACTGCTGATCGAGTGGCATCTTACTTCGTGCCCTGCATTCTTGCTCTCACTGTCGTCGTCTTCTCGATTTGGATTGCAGTAGGGTTTGCGGTGAGAAACAACTCCATCTCAGATGCCATCGTCACTGCTATTACGTACGCTCTGGCGGCTTTGATCGTGTCTTGCCCTTGTGCTATTGGACTGGCCGTGCCCATGGTGATGGTTATTGCAGGTGGAGTTGGGGCCCAGCACGGCGTGGTCTTCAAGTCGCCAGAGGCCATCGAAAATGCCAGAAACGCCTCTCATGTCGTCTTTGACAAGACGGGCACTCTTACACAAGGGAAATTTGTTGTGGTAGAAGAAGTCTATTGCAAAGAGAATCGCCACGAAGCAGCTTCAATAGCCAAACAATTGGCCTCCAGCAGCAAGCACCCAATTTCGCAAGCTCTGACAACGCACCTCGAGCCCCTTGACAACACTCCTATCAGACTCCAAAGCGTCTCATCTGCCGTCGGAAAGGGCATGCACGCGACCTTGGAAGGCCAACCCGTGAAAGGGGGTAATCCTTTCTATGTGGAAGCCGTCCAAGACCCCAACGTCCAACGTCTATCATCACAAGGGCTGTCAGTGTTCTGCGTTCGTCACGGCTCAACCCTACTAGCAATCTACGGTCTTCGCGACGCCCTCCGCCCAGACACAATATCCGTCATTTCGGCGTTGAAAGCCCGGAATATCCTCGTCTCTATCGTCAGCGGCGACTCTGTTACCGTAGTGAACAAATTGGCAACGGAACTCGGTATTCCTCTCTCCCGCGTCAAAGGCCAGTGCACCCCGGAAGAGAAAGCCTGCTACATCACCTCGCTCTCCGCTGCCCCACCGGAAGGCAAATATAAGAGTTCCACTACTACCACTATTTTCTGCGGCGACGGTAGTAACGACGCCGTGGCTCTTGCGCAAGCCGACATCGGCGTCCACATAGCCGGCGGCACCGACGTGGCCAAAAGCGCCGCCGACGTAGTGCTCACACACCAGTCACTATCTGGCATCCTGGCCCTTATGGATCTCTCGCGGGCATCCATGCGCCGTGTCTACCTCAACTTCGCCTGGGCCTTCGTCTACAATCTCTTTGCCATAATGCTCGCGGCAGGCGCTTTTGTGACAGCACGAATCCCGCCCGCCTATGCCGGCCTCGGTGAGCTTGTGAGTGTGCTACCCGTCATCGCGGTGGCGATGCAATTGCGGTGGATGAGGTTTTAATGAAAGTCATGGACAGCGGCTGCTGAATTCTATCGTCGTTTTAGCAGTGATTATTCCTCCGAGCTGCGCAAGGAGCGATACTAGACTTCGATACTGCAATACTTTCCACAAGGAAGCAAGAACATAGAAGTAGGAGTTCTTACTGCATGCTAAGCGTCTTCTCGGACGAGATGTTGCTCAGTATGGATCCCAAACTGAACGAGCCTCGATTTCGCTGGGTGGACCAAAAGCTCATGATGACTCGTCTTAGCAACGATGACAAACGGACGTGCAGCCTCGGTTGCAGGGACAACGACGGACTTCATCGTCATCGACACACCTAGCATTATCGTCGCCACCGATCTAGATGACCTGTCACGAGACGTCGAACCTTCTGTTCAATTCTACACAGTATTGAAAAAAGACGGATGACGTTTGGTACCCGAGAAATCTCTCACAGTAATGAAATGCAGCCTTTCACCCAGAACCTGCCAGCCGTCATCCTTGCGGACGGGAAAGTTTTGGTGGCTGGGAATTCGCGCGGGGAAGAATGCGTATGGGATCCTTTAGGTCTCCGTGATCGATGCGAAAGGCAGGCTGTCCTAGCGGTGGGGGCTTCGATCAAATTGGGCCATGTTAAGTCCGTTCGTATTGAGGTACGGGACTGTTCGATACCGGAAGGAGGGTGACGAGACGTCTAGTCAGCCTCAAAGGGGGAAGACATTGAATCTTGCTTGGGCTCACGGATGACACCGATGTTGATGATGAGAGGCGATTCATACAATTGGTCTAGACAGATACGAATTTGGAAAAGTGGCGCGATCCTCTATTTTGACAAGGGCAGCTACCGGTGACCAAATACTAGATCAATGGTAACGATTGTTGAGTAACGAGGCTGCGCAAGGAGCGTTCTCTGTGACTGTATTCAACAAGAGCAAATTTTTGTAGTATAGTCATTGTACTCTGGCCTCTCGTGATCTTGAATCTCGCTTTACTCTGACCATAGCAGCCAAAGCATGCAACACAAGCTTTACCACCGCACGCAATACATGACTATGGGTTACAGTCTCGAGCAGGCATGCATCACCCGCCCCGGAGTCCCGTAGACTCGCCCTCCTCGATGGTTAATGTCTATCAATTTGGTATAGTGCTCCCCAACATTTGTCGAAAACCGATTCCCTCTGCGCCTCCGCTATGCAGTATTGCTCCGAAAGTTTCAACAGACCGGGACGAAATGCCCGATCGATTGTAGAAGGATCTGAAACGGCCAGCTCCTCCGTTTTAATGTGTAACACTGTTGCGTGGCAGCCCAAAAGCAATGGCGCCAGCAGCGGTTGACTTCTCACGCTTGCAAACAGCGTGCTGAAGCAATTGGTGATGATCCCGTATTGTACATAATGAGGTAAAATGGTACAAGGGGTTTGTCGGACGTAGGGTTTGAGGGTACGTTGAATGATCACCGGCTCTTGAGGTCACTTAGACCTTACGGAAGTCGTTCAGCACAGGATAGATCATCTCGAAGGCTGTATATATCTCCTCGCGCACCTTGGCACCTGTCAAGACGATCTTTCCAGAGACGAAGATTAACAGTACTATCTTGGGCTTGATCATGCGGTATATCAATCCAGGGAAGAGCTCCGGTTCATATGAGGAGAAATGGTGATGTCTGCTGGCTAGCCCTTCCAGCCGAATTGGAAACTTAATATCGCAGGACCCAACGATATTTTGAATTTTGAAGTCCGTGAATCTGGCGTTGAACCCAAGCTTCTGGATGATCCTCGCATATTTCCGACTGGCTAGCCGACTGTCGTCCTCTGACTTCGCGCCGGTGACAACCATCTGGAATCGTTAGATTGCAACAGAGGGGATATTAGGAGATTGAATACGCACCTTGCCCGAAGCGAAGATCAAAGCAGTAGTCTTGGGTTCTCGAATACCTATAGCCGATCAGTATTGATACAGAGGTCGTGTTTCCGAATGGGACCGCACGCATTATTACAGCTGCAAAACGTTTTGGGTTGTATTCTGGGGTTTGGTCAGCACTCTCTTCCCAATGCATGAACTAGAGCTATGAGGCGCATCCGCGGACAAAAATTGGACACACCTGCGTTTCTGGCGTGAAGTGCTATTGTCTTGAGATCCAGGCGGCAATCGAGATTGACAGTGGCGACGATGTTCCTTGATCGGACATCTTTAAGCCTCAAGCTGGAGCAAGAGGCAGAGCCGGGTCTACTCACTGGAGCGTTGGAACTATGCCAGACACGCCTTGCCCAGCAGTATCGGGCAAACTGAAGGGTGTTATTGGTGCACCTCCACTGGCGCCTGGGTCAACACCATTACCCTCCTGCTGCCCAGGTATTGTCATTGCTACAGCTCCGCCAGGGAACGATAGTGATGCAGGCGAAGTGAACGCTGTAGCCTGCTGTGCATTGGATGGGTGGGTAGTGAGGGTTTCCATGCTTATAATTGAGAGCTATGTTATGATTGAGCTGGAAGGAAGCAAGTCCGAATGTAGAAAAGGCACCAGTCGAAAAGTGCAATCTTGGGGCGAGAGGATCAGGATCGTTGGCCGAGGCTCGTTTGCGAAGAGAGAGGACGGTAGGACGACTGGACAAGTTAGGAAATTCATTTCGAATAGCTATGGGAGATCCCTACCTTTTGCGAAAGATAGATAAATGAATATCTCCTTCGATGAACACGAGTTGACGTCAGCCGGGGAGACAGAACCAGAATTGTCCAAATTCTGCTCAGAGAATGGTTATGAGGTGGCTTTGATCGAGGTAGAATGCTATGAGGTTGGTGGTCCTTGATCGTTGTGTGTTGCGCAAGTTTCGGGGTGGTTAAGCCAGATGTGAAAGATAGACTGCGATCTCCGTTGAAGTTGAAAAGAGCGAGTAGTAAATGCTTTCAAATGTGATGTTGTTCGAGTGAAGGACGACTGCCAAGAGTGCGACGGTTTCAAAATTTGGGGGGGAGGAACAGCTCCGACTTTATACTCCCGCATTGTAGCCGCGAGGCCGCCAAGCTTTCAAGCCATTATCTCTAGCGCTCTTCTATCCGCTCGTCGCCTATCGCTACTTTATCTTTGCCCGAAGTTCCCACTCGCTCTCTACCTCCTTATACTCAAAATCCATTGTTGTCGCATTCGCATGATATAGTCCACATCACGAACTTGTTTCCAATGAGATAATAACCCGAGACTGGGCGTGAAATGCGCGGTGGGGCTCCTTACCGTGGGGAGTGAGAGGGAGGAGGTAAAGCCGAAGGATCTTGTGGTTGCTGGTGGGGCGGTGGATTAGATAAGGGTTCGAATTTTCTCTGCTTGATGGGTGCCTTGGGCTGTTGTTGGGCCAGAGGATGTACATAAGCGAGCGTGCGGGAATACGAGATCATGAGCTGACAGGGAAAGGTGAGCATAGGTACGATCAAGGCATTCTTCCCAAACCCCACAGTCGCCTATGTACCTATGGCCGACGCCTTGGATAAATCTCTCCTCGAAGCCATCTATAATGCTCTAAGAACACGGGGCGTGCTAGAAGGAGACGGTATATTAGTCTACAATGGCCGCACAGTAATCTGCATCGAATGACCCCAATTCAGCGCCCGCTCCGCATCCCTCTCCAATTCATCTCTGAAATGGATTTGTTCGCAATCTGCGAGTGTAGAATCTTCCGGAACTCAGAACAGCCTCCGCCTTGATATATATGAGTACATCACGACAATGGGCATGATACGAACAAGGGCGTGAGCTTGAGATGGTGATGGGACATATCGTTGCTTATGGGGCGAATGCTAAGAGGGCTATTGTTGGCTGTTTTGGGGAGTTGGGTAAGGATGAAGAGCAAGAGTAAATGCTAATCATGGTGATCTGCTAAGAGGCTTGAGGATACATGGAGTAAAATCGCTGAAAGGAGAGCGAACTATCAAACCCTCTTGACCTTCAATCGCTGACTTCATTTGTACCTCGGTTACGCGTATTCTATACATGTAGATTCTTGTGCATATAGCAAGAGGTTAAAAGAAAGCCACATTGCAACAAAGATTCAGCATGAAGTCCAAGGTGCAAATGAGTTATTGTAGATTGTGCGCAATGCCACGCAATCTGGTAAGATAAGGCCACGCTGAGCCTGGTACTCCTAAGACTCATGTCAACCGATGACTCCAGACATTCAAAACGTTTTCATGCGATTCTCGGATGCACTGAATTGGCTATGGACTATCATGAGAAGTTTTCTTAGATTCACGCTCCCTTCTACTTCCCTATTCGAGTACTACTCGTCGAGACGGACAGACGTCCGCATGAACACCATCCTTGGCTTGCTAAAGAGATTTTGTGTCTGTATGCTTAAGACCTTTGGGCGACTGAGACAATCATCTGACGGCGGATAGCTGATAATAAGTTGCTGCTTCAGCTGGCAGCCTGTGGTGAAATGAGCACTACGGAATCTCCTATGAATTGAATGAGTCTCCATTGGAAATCGAGACGGAAGTCAGACGGCGAGTCTCATGACCTACCTCGAACGAACAGCATCTCCGACTGCTTCTTAATGGTCTACGGCCAATTGATCAGCATGAATATTAGATTGGCGTAGCGTGGCTAACCTTCACGGTCTCTTCTTCTTCGTCGTCATCCTCCACTACGTAGATCGTCTCCTCCACTTCACCGAGCACTAGGTTGCAATGACTATCATATGCCTACGTACATGGAACACTCAGTCAGTAGACCGTTTCCTGAGTATCCCCCAGTTTATGAAAGTAAACATACATGTAAACGTCCTTTGAGCTCTCGGTCTCCTCGTAGCCTCACGAAAACGATTTCATCCAACGACAGGCGAACCAAGTCCAGCGGCTCCGACACAGCTGCCGTATCTCCATCACCAGCGTCTGCCATCTTAGGTTGCAGATATTTCTTGAAAACCTCACGTGCCGGCAAGGAGCGAGTAAGTGTGCGGAATTTTTGCGCCCTTAGCGCGGCAAATTAGGCGCGAAATGAAACTCCAGTCTTGAGTCACCTCAGCTATCGAACCAACACTTGCATCAAATGTTGTTAGACCTGGCTTCAAAGTTATTCTGGTGTTCCTTTCATATCTATGGCACCTTCAGAAAGTGCACAGGATGACACAATGCCCTCCGAAAAAGATCGGCTTGATAAGAAAGTCACAAACGGCGAGCAGAAAGTAGCCTCAATGGCTGAGCACATACCAGGAACAAATGGCACGGGCGAAGCAGCCAAGGGATCAGAGCAAGGGCAAAAGTTAGCTGACGTGCCAAAAGAAAAGGAGCTGTCAGGCAAAGAGAAGAAGGAATTAGCCAAAGCTCAGAAGATTGCGAAGAGAGCGGCAGAGAAACAAAAACAACAAGGTCAACCAGCGGTCGACTTAGTTGCGGGAAATAAGGGAGAACTTCCAAAGGACTCAGGAAAAAAGGGCCCCTTGGGCCCAGCAACGCCTGCGAAGACCCAACACAAAAAGACGGGCTCTACCAGCGCAGGGGCACAGTCTTCGTTGCCGCACCGACAAGCTCTATCGCATGCTGCACCGGCCGCTGCCGAGCCAGGAAAAGAGAACAAGAATGTCGCCCTTTTCGATCATCTGTATGGCCACCCCAGAAGAACCACGGTTGCAGGAGCGGGTAAAGATGTTCACCCTGCTGTGCTAGCTCTAGGAATACAGATGAGGAACTACATAGTATGTGGGAGCAGTGCTCGATGTGTTGCCATGCTATTAGTATTCAAGAGGGTTGGTGCGATCTTTGGAGTCGATGTGTGCATTGTTAATCCCTACGCAGGTTATTGAGTCGTACACGACTCCTCCCAGAAACTCGCTACCACGCCATCTCACCATACTTCTCTCGTCCCAGATCGACTACCTCGTTTCTTGCCGCCCTATCTCGATATCTATGGGCAATGCCATACGATGGCTGAAAGTGGAGATTTCCAATGTCGATGTCAGTACCCCTGAGTCGCAGGCCAAGTCAGACCTTTGCGACTTGATAGACACTTATGTCCGAGAGAAAGTCACGGTAGCAGACCAGGTCATCGCAAACAAGGCAAATGACAAAATAGAGGATGGCGATGTCATCATGACATTTGCCAAGAGCAGCATTGTTCAGCAAACCCTTGTAGAAGCCTTCCGGAGAGGCAAAAGGTTTCGAGTCATCGTCGTTGATTCGAGACCGTTACTCGAAGGCAAAAACCTAGCACGAGCTCTAGCAGACCTGGGCTTGGAAGTACAATACTCCCTCACCCACGGTATCAGCCATGTCATCAGAGACACAACCAAAGTGTTCTTAGGTGCTCATGCCATGATGAGCACGGGGCTCTACTCTCGAGTCGGTACAGCACTTGTCGCTATGAGCGCCAAAGAAGCCAACGTTCCCGTAATCGTGTGCTGCGAAAGCGTCAAGCTTACAGAGAGAGTGGCCTTGGATAGCTTCGTGCACAACGAGGTCGCCCCGGCTGAGGAACTGATAATCCAGGGCAAACCTTCTTCGCCATTGTCCAAGTGGGTAGACGTACCAAATTTGCAGCTCCTCAATCTCATGTACGATCTCACGCCTGCAGAGTATATCAACATGGTAGTCACGGAATACGGCATAATACCTCCTAGCTCTGTACCGGTCATTATCCGTTTGAGCACAAACACTTGAAAGACTGACCTTCTCATACGAGGTTTAAGTGACGGCCCCGAAAACAGTCCGCAAATCAAAAGCACCTTCCAGCTTCTTGTAATGCAGCTGAAGGGATTCTATCCTTTAGCTCATCTAGTTGAACGAGAGCCCGGAGCATCAAGGAGGCGCTTGATTTGGAACATTGAGCATCCTTATGGTCCCAATAGATCGGCGGACGAGGTTTGGATGGTCAACAAGAAGGCTACGGGCACCGCCATCGAATCAGTGATAAATATCCGCAATCACGTGAATTCGCTTCACCTAAGGATACTCACAAGCAGAGAATATCGTAAAACATGGAGCTCAGTAGTAGAAAGCAGCTCCTAGAACGGGAAGCTTGCCTACGTTTTGCTCCCAACCGTTCCTATCTGCTCTTAGAACTGGGTGTCCAGAGGCGACAATACGGGTCCCTTATCCCCAACAACGACCACTTCCTGATTCGAAAGCATTTGAGATGGACCACTCTACAGGGATGATATCCACAGTATCCACCCAATTTCCATACCGTTAACTTTGTAAATCCCATGTCTTGAGGGCTCGCGTGCACAAAGCTTGGCTCAAGGCCTGGGGATTTGACCTATCTGCGACGGTGTGAAATGGAAATTCTCGTTTCCTGACTTTCAGGAACGTTGAATGACCCGCTCATACATCTATAAAACATTTAGGGGCAGCATCGTTATACTTTGCTCCGGACTGCGGTATCACTGGACTTGAAAGTGTTCATTTTCTAGCTCCTATAACTCCGAAACTGCATGATCCAACAGGTAGAACCCCTATCTTTTTCGGCCG